CCCTTCACTATATAATACTCATGACCCCAACATTGAAAGTCACGGTTGATATTACAAATTAATTATCTTCTAAAATTAACTATTACAATCAGATTTTTAGTAAATTTTGATAAAAATTGATGAAATGAGTTGTTGAAAATTTATGAATCTCATTAAATATATGATTAAAATTAATTAAATTAAAATCTAAATTTTATTCTTACCAAACTTAGTTTAAAATCATAAATGATACAATTATATTTGTCTAAATTTAAACTTCAAACATTTATGATTTCACTAGAAATGAAAATTACAAACCAAAACATAAATAGAACAATTGATTGTTCAAGGAAAAAGGAAAAAGACTGACTAGATTAGTTGTTGTTAGGTTTGAAAAGTTTGATACGGCACCTTTGCGTGTAATGACTTTCATTGTACAGAAGACTGAAATCTGATATATAAAATTCATGCAAAATGTTGTAGTCATCAGTTTTATTCTGGAATATGTATGCTTGATAGTTACCTGATTATGCTCAGATTAAAATTTAAATTTTAATTCAAGTTAAAATTTATAATTAATTTTAAACATATATTTCATAAAATTCATAACTATTCAACTATATATTTTATCGAATTCTATCAAAATTTACTAAAATTTTGATTTTAATTTCCACCAAACAGGAACTAAATGAATCTACGATAAAGGAAAAAACAAATAGAAAACATAGGACGTGGCACGACCTTTTTGTCAATTGGTTAAACATTAGGAGTATTTTAATTAATCTCTCAAGTTTTCATGTCACAACATAAACTCTCTTGTCAAGAGTATGCCCCATCGAGTGATACAATTGTTTTTTTCTCCAAAATAGAAAATAGAAAAATAAAAGATGAAATGACATCTCAACCATGGAAGAGAACGAGTTTAGAGGGGCTAAGATTTTAGTTTGCAGGGTCGAAGAAATAATAAATTTGTTCATTCTTTAATATCTAAGTTCTAAGATTGGGTATTTTATTTTAGTATCAACGTAGACAAAGATCCCCTGATCAAGTTTTGCCGTCGTCTATTTAATTATAACAAATCAAGTCAGTTCCGTGCTTTCGATGAAAATATTCAAATGATTATTTATCAGTATTGCATTTAAACTTTTAGATGAAAAGATTCAATGCTTTGCACATAAATTTAGTACAAATTTCTTCATTTATATTTCACAATCAGTCATCTACTTAACTGAGAGTAAACATTGATCTGCGGACCTGTAAGGATGAAGAATGAGTATAATTTGAAATCCCCTTAGTCAATAGAAGCTGCAGACTTAAAATCAATGGAAATTAATATTTTCACCTAAGAAATTTTTGTCGTTATTCAGGACAATAAAAAATTCGGACGAGTTTCTTTTTATTGTCTTAATCAGTGAAGACTTGACTTTAAATTGCTTGTTTCCTTGTAGTAACACTCGGACTCGGACTCAGACTCAGACTCAGACTCAGACTCAACCCTAATTTCAAGACATATTCAACTTAGAATAAGTGTTCACACCACTGCAAAGTAATGTATCTTTACAAATTTTATCTTGCTAGATCCTAGAGACTCATTTTAATTATTATAATAAAAGATTAGCATTTCTTTCAGGTTTCATCAGTCTAATTTATTGCGAAATTGTATAAAGTTGTTGGATGAAAGAATATCATCATATCGAGTTGTATGTGTTGAGAAAAAGGCCAATACATAATCCACGATACGAAATTGCTGCATCGGGATAGACAATCTTCTTTTTTTAAATCTTTGTGTAATTAAATCGGTGCAATAATAAAATCAATAATTATCATACATAAAATTAGATCGAAGAACATCAAATTTAACATGGTTCCACCATTTGCTCAAGGTAATGAAACCAAATCCAATTAATTTATTCTTCCACTACAACCAACAATAATAATTTGTCATTTACAAAGTGGATTCCTCGTGAAGGAATGGTTAAATCTTGATCTTATTCGTCGGATTGAAAGGATAACGATTTGTAAATGAATCGTCCAAATATCATGATGATCAAATCGCGAAATGGTAAAATATCAATGATTGATCGAGCTGAATCCAAAAAATGTATGTGGCCTCTCCAAATTTATCTCTATTTTGAGGTTGAATTGGTTCTCTTTCATGCACTCACACCCCAATTGATTCTACTCGTCAGTGCCAAACAACTTATAAATATTAAATTAAGGCATCAAATTAAAGCCATAATGGAACTTTCTTTTTCCAATTCCCACCCATATAACAATACCAGATTCCAATCTAAATATAAAAATCCTTGCTCCACCAAATTAAGGGAATATTAGTCCAAATCACATCCCTAATGTTTAGTTTTGAGGAATCAAGTGATCATTATTAAAAAAAAAAATTACGAAAATAAGATATTTAGGAATTTATCGATTTAAATAATTAGAAATTGCACTTTCTTGCAGTGAAAAGTATTATGCCAGCTTGTTTTCTTCATTTGTATTGTTCTATACATATATATGGAGCAGTTTCCATATCAAGAAATTCTTGAAGGCATGTTAAGCACAATGTATGAAGATTTTAGTTTCATTCTACCATTACCAGTCATAATTTTCCTTCTTTAAAACCAAAATGGAAACAAGCAAGAGGCAAAACTACCTCTTGGAGGAGTGCTCTACTCGAAAGGTGGGTCATCCTTCAATGCTTATTTAATTCTCAGAACTATTTATCAGAATATTTCGTAAGCAATTTCAAGGACGAGAGGGAGCAATATCGCTTTAGAATAGCGTTTAGCCGTTTACAACGTGCTCAATCCTTTAATTTCCGGGCTTATTCTATCATTTGTGGTTTTATTCTCTCTCTTCTCCATTTCATGTGCTCACTGTTTCATCAATGTGTACGAATTTTCAGACTCCGCCTCTCGAGATTTTCTTACACTTGTACGATAGATTGAGAGCTTGATTCAAACAACAAAATAGAGGTAATTTACATTTTCCATTCCAAGGATGTGTTGAAAGGATTAAACTACTTTGATATTTGTTTGGATACAATAAGCACCTGTTTGTCTACCATTTTTATAAACATTGTTTTCTACAGTAAACAATTTCAACCACATATTCATTTAATAAAATATTCCACACACAAACCAGTAAAGTCACTTTAAATTTCAACCACACATTCTCCAAAAAATACTATTCCTTACTCCATTT